CTCTTTCCCCACCGGGGCCCTGACCTTGGCATAGTAGATTTGCTTAGACTGAGAATTCATCCTTTTTTTGTTTCTGCCTCTCCTAAAATTAGGTCCTGTGCCTGCAGAAGGTGTCTTTGACTATTAGCAGAGGGGGCTCGCTGACCGTCATAGTTGGATTTAAATTGAAGATTGCTACAGTTGAGACTGTCATTTTCCTTTTTCAAGGAATGGATGGCTCTTAATAACAGCCACCCCATTCCATGGTCCTTGCTGTGACCAGCCAGCACATTAAACTGCCACATGTCTCCTGTCTTCCTTCACCACAGGGAACAACAGCATGCCAGGGACTATCTATGCTCTACGTTGGGTCCTCATTGCCACCTGGCTGGAGAGTGACTCACCCCTAAATCTACAGAGTTCACTGCCTCAGACAACTTCTGATACCACCTGGTTTAGGTCAGGTTTTCTGGGAGGAAAGCTGAGATGGAGATCATCTGGAAAGCTGTTGATTGAAGGAATGCTTTCTAGTGAAGGGGGAGCAATGGGGCAGAGGAGCAAAACCAAGTACAGTCTTGGCAGAACCCCAGTTCATGCTGGTCTCACAGGAAAGCCCTGGGTACAGTACATCCCACAGAGTTGCTCCATCTTGAGACAAAGGGCTGGCCTTTTGCACACTCCCATCAGTCACTGTCTATGGGCTGCCCCTGGGTGGATGGAGAAGCAGAGGGGCTCTCAGATAGGGGGCTCTGGTTCACAGTTGGCTATTTGTGGCCAACACTCTCAGCAGCTTGGGGATAAGTACAAAGACCTGGGAAGAGGGGGTAAGTGGGGCGCCAGCACATAGCTGCTCTCCCACATACTTCTGCTCTTGCTTTTTAATTTAATGGTGAATCTTGGAGATCATTCTAGGTCCATGTACATAGGGTTAAAATTACATTACAGTATAACATATATACTGACAGGTGCCAATCATACATGCACAGTTGCACAAAGTGAACACACTTCTGTGACCAGCCCCCTAGAAGCTCCTCTAATGACCCCTTCACTGTATGCACACACCATAATTTATCTACCCTGTTATTTGTAGGTATTGGGCATTCCACTGTTTGGAGCTTTTGAGCTCTTACATATAGTGCTGCCGTGAACATTCTCCATCGAGGGCGTTTGGTTGAGGTTTTATGAGCAAACCTGTTGGGTCATACCTAGGAGTAGAACTGCTGAGTCACAGCACATGCTGTAGTTGGGACTGCAAACACTCTTCCCTCCAGCACTGTTGAGAGTTCCCAGCACCTGGTATTTTCCATTTTAGCCATTCTTGTTGGGTGTGTAGAATTTTCATTTTCCTGATGACTAATGAGGTCAGGCCATTTGGATTCCTCCTTTGTGAAGTGTCAGTTCAAATCATTCGCCTCCTGTTCTATTAGCTTTTCTGCTTTTTCTTTCTACATAAGGAAATAATAAGGAATATGAGTTGTTTGCCAGATAAATGTATTGCAAAAATCTTCTCCCATCTCGCTGCTTGCCTTTTCACTCTCATAATGGTGTTTTTAGTTGAACAGTTTTAAATATTAATGGAGTCCAGTGTATTAAGTTTCTCTTACATGGTAGTGCTTTTTGTATGCTGTTTCAGAAATCTTTTTACTTGGAAAATCATGAGGATGCTCAAGTTTTCCCCTAGTGTTGTTTTACCTTTCATATTTGGGATTGCCGTCTACCTGGAACTGATGTTTCAATATGGTATGAAGTGGGAACCAGGGTTTTTCTTGTTGCTTAACCAGCACCAATTATTGAAAAAAACATCTATTCTTTTCCCCTCTGCATTGCAGCATTGCCTTTGTCATAAATTAAGTAACAAATATTTGGTTTCTTCCATAAAGAATCCTCTCATTTCCAGCCTTGGAGGGTGGGGGTGAGGCAGGTGAGTAAGCCAGACTGATTGCCAGCATCCTGGGAGACAGCAGGACAGGGGAACTGAAAGGCCTCACCAAGCCTTTTCCCTTCAGTTGTGCCCTTGTCCCTGGGACAGATCCTCTGGGGAAGCAGGTGGGCTCCTGGCTGCATGGACTCTAGGGAAAGATCTAGGGGTCTACGGGCCATTCATGCTGGCTTTCCCAGTCTCCTCTTTCCAGCTGAAATGTGACAGGACAAGGAGTGTCTGGATGCTTGTCACTGTCAGCCAATACACAGAGACAGGGATAGGTCCAGAAAACTTTTTCAGAAGACCTCAGTTCTGGAGAACAGTGAGAGTAGCCTCTGCAAGACTATCCTGTTCTTCCATTCCCAGAATTACAGTTTTATACATAAAGGTTCAAAGCAAAGACCCCATTAACTCTTATTTTATTTTATTTTTTATTTTTTATTTTTTTTTGAGATGGAGCCTCAAGCTATCCCCCCTGGGTAGAGTGCCATGGCATCACGCTCACAGCAACCTCCAACTCCTGGGCTCAAGCGAGTCTCCTGCCTCAGCCTCCCAAGTAGCTGGGACCACAGGTGCCCACCACAGCGCCTGGCCATTTTTTGGTTGCAGCCATCATTGTTGTTTGGCGGGCCCGGGCTGGGGATTCGAACCCGCCACCTCAGGTGTATGTGGCTGGCACCTTAGCCGCTTGAGCCACAGGCGCCGAGCCAACTCTTATTTTAAATGATAATCAACATAACTCAGTAATCTATTATAGCATTTCTAATTCAAAAGTCAATTTCCAAAATCAATCTCCTAAACTATTCAAGATAGGCATCTTAGTTTGATTGCCTTAGTGTGTGGTGTCAGTGTGCGGTGGCTCAGACCTGTGATCCTAGCACTCTGGGAGTCTGAGGTGGGTGGATTGCCCTGAGCTCATGGGTTCAAGACTAGCTTGAGCAAGAGTGAGACCCCTGTCTCTAAAACTAGCCAGGTGTTGTGGCAGGCACCTGTAGTCCCAGCTTCTTGGGAAGCTAAGGCAAGAAGATTGCTTAAGCCCACAAGTTTGAGGTTTCTGTGAGCCACAACGCCATGGCACTCTACCAAGGGCAACAAAGTGAGACTCTGTCTCAAAAAAAAAGAAGGCAGTGCATGTGGCTCAAAGGAGTAGGACACCAGCCCCATATGCCGGAGGTGGTGGGTTCAAACGCAGCCCCAGCCAAAAACTGCAAAAAAAAGAAAAAAAAGATGGGCATCTCTGGGGTGGGACCTAAATTTACAAAAACAGTAAGTATGGGAGACAGGGGTGGTACCTATGGCTCAAAGGAGTAGGGTGCTGGCCCCATATGCTGGAGGTGGCGGGTTCAAACCCAGCTCCAGCCAAAGACTGAAAAAATTAAAAAAATAAAAACCATTCTTTGCATTTCTTTAAAAAAAAAAAAAAAAAGAAAAATGGGAGACAGGAGGTCAAGGTCACATAGGATGTAAAAATGACCAGACCAGCTGAGTCCTGTCAGCCCTAGCCTGACAGAGTGCATCTTATTCTTACTGCATGTGCTTTCATCTCTACACCCCACTATTTGGAACACCCACGGCCTCCAATTTCTTAAGCCCTCTGGGGATTCTGTGGCTTGCATATGTTTCTGCTATTTAGGGTTTTAGCCTTTTCTGTTCTCCTACCAGCAGTTTCTACTTGTCAATGTGTGTGTTTCAGCTTCTCCGTTTTTGTTATCATTTTCTCTCCATTCTCTCTGATCTTGTGATTTTGCACTTTTTTTTTCTTTTTTAATCTCTTTACTCTTATTCCAGTAGCACTTCAGAAGGGAGCAGAGATAAATACATATGTTTAATCTGTTTTTACTGGGAAGTCTATTATAAGCCTTTAAATTCATTTCTTCACATTTTCAAATCTGTGCAGATGGGAGCTGAGAAACACTCTTTGAATTTAAATTTTCTGTTATTTCTCCAAACTTCATCTCAAAATTTGATAACTAATCCCATATATAGCCAATATAAAATATATAAATAATTTATTGCATAAAGTAGAAAGCGAATGAATAAGCAATATAATTTAGGCTTTAAAATCATAGGACAGGATTTTCCTTGACTAAAAATTTTTTAAATTTTACAGCATAATAGCTGTAATGTTATCTTTCCTCTTGCTCAAAAGCAGTTTGCAGTTACCCTGGCTCTTGATTTGCCACTAGGCTCTTATTGTCCCTCTTTGGCTTTCATAATTCCTGTGGCTTTCCTTTGTGTCCACCTGAAGTTGTGCAGGAAGCTGGTTCAGTGAGACTTGATTATTTCAGTAGGCACAAAGTAACTCACTGTGACATCAAGCCACGTCTGACAGGAATGAGTAGAATGTTCTATTGAAACTCAAGCTTTTGGCTTGGCACCTGTGGCTCAAGTGGCTAAGGCGCCAGCCACATACACCTGAGCTGGCGGGTTCGAATCCAGCCCAGGCCCACAAACAACAATGACAGCTGCAACCAAAAAATAGCTGGGTGTTGTGGCGGGAGCCTGTGGTCCCAGCTACTTGGGAGGTGGAGGCAGGAGACTCACTTGAGCCCAGGAGTTGGAGGTTACTGTGATCTATGATGTCACAGTACTCTACCCAGAGCAACAGCTTGAGGCTCTGTCACAAAAAAAAAAAAAAGAGAGAGAGAGAGAGAGAAACTCAAGCTTTTTAGCTTAACAGAATTTTTTTTATTAATCTATATTCAGTTCCACCTCCAGTAAGTGATGTTTTCTTTTAATGCCAAAAGTTCATCTAAATTGGAAGGAAACCTGATTATGTCTAGTACCATCTTGTACAATCACAGAAGAGGATACCAGGCCATTTTTCTAAAGGGACAGTTTAAAATGAGTTCTTTGTCTTTGGATTTAAACAGTTTTGCAGCTCTCTAAGCAGCATCCTGCCCTCTGGGGCTTCCAGCAGAGCCTCTGAGTCACCATCTCAGGCTGTAGAGAATTTGCTCACTTTCCCACCCCTGGACCTGGCCGCACTTCCTTCCCTTTCTGCTTCCGCTAAATGCATGGTGTTCTGTGCCGCTGTGTTTTTTAAAACATTGTAAAGAGTGTTGTGTCATTCTGGAAAGAGCAAAACTCTAGGCATTAGAAACAGATCCATGGTTGTCAGGGACTAAAGTACGAGGAGGGGTCAGCTAGAAAGGGGCACGAGGGGATGTTGGGGGTGATAGAAATGGGTTGTGATGGTGTTTACACAGTTGTGTGTGTTTGTCAACACTCAGCACTGTACACTAAAAAGGGTGAATTTTACAGTATATAAATTATACCTTGGTAAACCTGACTTTAAAAATATGTGTGTCTTGGGAAGGAGTGGCTAATGGAAATGCAGTTGCCCTGTCTGAGGCCTGACACTGGTTAGGCCTTACTAAATATTGTTTCACAAATCCTGAAACAGTAGATGTGTCCCCCAGAGGCTGTGTGTAGACGTGGCAGTGGGAGGGTTGGCCAGGCAGCATTGCCTCTGCATCAGAGCCCTGAGCCAGAGCAGCTAATCCCGGATCTCAGGCACTGGGTGCGTCAGCCCCATGGCTTGCCCAGAAGCTGTGTCTCAGGCCTGTGCTTTGTTTTCCCCATCAGCTTGTTTTCCACTCTGCTGCATAGTTTGTTAGAACGCCAGGGTCACAGCAAGCCAAGGGAGAGCTTGTTCACTCTCATTTCAATTTACACAGTGTCTTCCATTTCCCTTCTCATCATAAACAGAGTATCAAAGAGCCTTGCAGTCCCTGTGGTAGAAATTTACATGTCTTCATGGGAGGTTAGAGGGGAGGCTTGCTGTTCCCAAGTGGTTAAATTCTAATAGAATATAAGGCAGAGTTACAATAATTCTGGATCACCGCAAAATGAGATATGTACTGATTATATGTACTCTAAGAGCTTTGGGATTTGTGGGTAAGAGAATACTTATCAAACTGCTTATATTTCATTTGTATACTCTTTCTCTAAGCTTTCAAAAATGATAGTAATGATGATGGTAATGTTATCACTAATGATGATCACTAATGATAACCTGTATCTTCATAGCACTGGATGGTTTTCAAAACATTTTTACTTACCTGTACTTATCTTAATGACTCTGTAAGATAGACAAGGGCTAGAAATCCCTCTGTACAGATAAGGATGTTGATTCCCAGAGACGTTAAATTACTTGCCCAAAGTCTTGGGTATCAGATAAATGGAAAAACTGAGGCAACTGTATCTTCCGGCTCCTGTTGGCATACTCATCTTATTAAATCACTTCCTTTTTATTCTTAAGTCGTGCATACTGTTCACTGGCAGGACCAGAGAGTTTTAGCTCCTAGTTAAGCTTACTAAATATTGTTTCACAAATCCTTAATTAAAAAACATGTGGTGGTCTATGTTTTTCAGTTATTTTGTGAGCATTAACTGTGCCAGTCTGCCTATTAGTCTGAGGGGCAGGAATTCAGAATCTAGAGTCACCATAAACATGCACTATACTTTCTGAACATCTTACTGTTTGTATCCATTCTGCAAAGGTCTGTCTTCTACATAGACTGGTCTAATCACTAAGAATAACACAAAGATGATTCCAACATGGATTTTGCCCTTGAGTTTATAATTTCACAGAGAAAACCAGACATATACACAAACACTATAATACAAAGGGGGAAGTGAAAAATGAAGTTTCGATACAGACTCACAGAAGCTCAGAGAAGGTAACTTTATAACTTAAGTTTTCCTCACTTAAAATGTACCATTAAACTCAATGCTTGAACTTTTGGTATGTTGTTTAGTGCTGTGTTTCTTAACAAGCTGGAGCACAGAGAACTCTGTGGTATTCAGCAGTGAAACTCTAAAGCATTGGTGTTGTAGGAATTTCCTCGAAATTTCTTTGAAACATACTGAAACCAAGTGTGTTCACTCTTGCCTCTGTTTCCTGTTGTCATCATAGGCCCCATCTTACGGGAAACAATACTTATCGGTGTTGAATTTCAAAGAAAATTTGGTTAATTGTTCAACTTTTAAAGAGTTGCAGATAAACCTTGAGTTTTAATGAAACTATTTTACAAAAGTTATAAAAGTTAAAGACTTCTGGTCTTAACTGTTGGTTACATGTAAACAGCATCCTATACCAGCCTACTTATTCAGTCTCCAAAATGGTCTTTTGAGGCCAATCAAGTAAGTAGTAGCCCTGAGTATTACAGAGATTAATCATACAATTGCTTTATCTTAAAAAAAAAAAAAAAACTGGTTTTGAGACAGGGGTCTCACACTGTTGCCCAGGCTGGAGCAGGAGAGGACACAAACGAACATAAACAATGAGGTTTCGGCCCAGGCTGCAGTGCAGTGGCACAGCTATCCCAGCTTACTGCAACCTCAAACTCTGGCCTCAAGCCATCCTCCTGCCTCTGCCTCCTAAGTAGCCTCCTAAGCTACCAAACCAGGTCATATTAAAATGTTAAATGCTGATGACACTAGAAGTTTATGTCCTCTGCTAATCCATGCCATAATTTTAAAGAGAGGGAGAGCAAATAGCCTGGGCACTTAATGGAAGGAACAAGTACCACAAGGTACAACATTACTTCACCTCCACCACAGTTAAGCCATGGTCCCTGAGCCCAGACCTCCATCTGCACTGTGAGGCGGGGCTGGGACCCTGCAACCACCCTTGTCCATTGCCCACTGCCCCCTGCCCATGGGGGGGTGCTAGAGAGCCCATAGGGCCTGAAGGGAAGGGGCCCTTATGGAACCCAGCAGGGGTACTCTGCCTATCAGCTGCCATTGTTTATGTTTGTTTGCTTGTGTCCCCTCCCACAAGCCGAGAACCACCTAGATTGTACCCCCACGTCAGAAGTCTGAGGCCCAGCTTCAGAGGACCCAGCTAGGATGTGAGGATTCCAGCCTCTGCCCATTGTTCTCTCAGCTCTGGGATGAGGATGAAGCTGCTCCCTGCAGCCTCTTTGTCAGCTCAGTGTCCCCTTCCTACATCTCAGTTCGCTGGTACCCACAAAACCCCTTCCCTATATTAAATTCTCCATATAGTCTTGGCACCTGTAGCTCAGTGTTTAGGGCGCCAGCCACATACCCGCAGGCTGGCGGGTCTAATCCTGGCCCCAGCCAGCAAACAACAGTGACAACTACACCAAAAAAAAAAAAAAATAGCCAGGGGCTTAAGCCCAAGAGTTTGAGTAGTGAGACTCTATCTCAAAATAAATAAATAAATAAATAAATAAATACATTCTCCATATAAACAATTGGTGTGGTACCTGTTTTCCTGAGTGGACCTTGACTAATATAACCTTTAATCTCATAAATTTTGAGGTAGCTCTTATTTATTTATTTATTTATTTGAGACAGAGTCTCACTATGTCACCCTCAGTAGAGTACTGTGGCATCATAGCTCACAGGAATCTCAAACTCTTGGGCTTAAGCGATTCTCTTGCCTCAGCCTCCCAAGTAGCTGGGACCGCAGGTGTCCGCCACAATGCCTGGCTATTTTTTGTTGTGGTTGTCATAGCTGTTTAGCTGGCCCAGGCCAGGTTCAAACCCGCTAGCCTCGGTGTATATGGCCAGCACCGTAACCACTGTGCTACAGGCATCGGGCCTGAAGTAGCTCTTACTCAGCATATCTTCCTTATACAGAAGTCCATGCTTAGTAGGCAGACCAGTTTGTCTAAAATCACATAACCAGATGCTGGCCTGGATGGAAAGAGAAGGGAACACTTTTACACTGCTGGTGGGACTGCAAACTAATACAACCTTTTTGGAAGGACATATGGAGAATCCTCAGAGAACTCAAATTAGACCTCCCATTTGATCCAGCAATCCCATTACTGGGCATCTACCCAGAAAAAAAAAATCCTTTTGTCATAAGGACATTTTCACTAGACTGTTTATCACAGCTCAATTTATAGTGACCAAAATGTGGAAACAACCTAAATGCCCACCAACCCAGGAATGGATTAACAAGCTGTGATATATGCATACCACAGAATACTATTCAGTCACTAAAAAACATGGGGACTTTACACTTTCTATATTAACCTGGATGGAGATGGAACACATTCTTCTTAGTAAAGCATCACAAAAATGGAAGAGTAAGTGTCCAATGTACTTAATTCTAATATGTAGACAGTAGATGACCTAACACAAGGGGTGGGATAGAGGAATGAGGGAAAGAGAGAAGGGAGGCAGGAGGGAGTTGGGGGCCACAGTGAATGGCACACCTCTTGGGGGCAGGACACAAGTATAAGAGGGACTTTACCTAACAAATGTAATCAGTGTAACCTAATTCTTGTACCCTCAATGGATCCCAAACAATTAAAAAAAAAAAAAGTATAAAGAGCTACACACAAAAAAAATAAATAAAATCACATAACCAGGATTCCCAGACCTAACACCTACACCCTCTACTTACAGATCCTGTGCTCTTTCCATTTCATCTCCATATTTCTATTTTTGAGACAGAGTCTCACTTTGTCATCCTTGGTAGAGTGCTTGTGGTATCACAGCTCACAGCAACCTCAGACTCTTGGGCTCAAGCAATTCTCTTGCCTCAGCCTCCCAGGTAGCTGTGACTACAGGCGCCCACCATGACACTTGGCTATTTTTTGAGCCGGGGTCTTGCTCTTGCTCAGGCTGGTCTCTGAGCTCCTGAGCTCAGGCAATCCACCCGCCTCACAGTGCTAGGATTACAAGCATGAGCCACCTCACTCAGCCCTGAACTTTTTCTTTTTTTGTTGATAATTTTATATTTAACAGAAGAATTCAATTCCCATATACCCTTCACTCAGCTTCCCCTAAGGTTAACTAACATGTTACATAACCATAACACATTTATGCAAACTAAAAATTAACACAGATACATTTGTATCTTGAAAACTATAGACTTTATTAGGATTTTACCAGTTTCTCCACTAATGTGCTTTTTCAGTTCCAGGGTCTAACCCAGGATGCCACATTACCTTTGCTTGTCATGCCTCCTTTACCTCCTCTAATCTGTGACAGTTCCTCAGTTTTTCCTTGTTTTTTGTGACCTTGAAAATTTTGAGATGTACTGCTTAGGTATTTTTTTAGAACTTCCCTTGACTTGGATTTGTTCAATGTTTTCTTCTGACACTTCACAAGACCAGCATTATGGATCTGG